TGGTGTTTACAATAAACAAAACGTCTCGAAAAAGCTTATAACGGGTCCCACAACTACGGGACTATTCCCAGCTCTCGTTCCCACCGCTGCAACTCCTGTGTAGCCAGGGTCTACAGCTTGACCGCCAATAACCCAACCAGTAAAGGTTCAGTAGGAGTAGGATCCTACCTAGGGCACAGCTAACTTTCAGAGTTGAATGTATCAGATAGACTAGTAGGAGTTCGAAGGTCGAAGTTACAATACTTACAATATTGACTTTGGCAGCGAAATTATGTAAATTTCAATAAACTCAATGGCATTTGCGAGCCGTTAGGGCAGAAAGTGACTTCAAACGTTCTCGAGTGGGGACACAATGCACCAAAAGACGTCATAATACTTTAGCTTCCATCTTAGCGGGCTGACGACCTGTGAAGGTTTCGACCTTCAGCTGGATGCAGGCAGATAGCTAGTGGTTGCCGAAATCCTTGGGGGAAGCATTTACCTATCCACGAGTAGAGTCTTTTGTTTAAAAAAAAAGACTGTTACAAAGAAGTTTTCGCACTGATAAGTTTTTTGCCTCACTCGTAGGCGTCTATACAGACTATACTTATAACATAATATCTGCACATAACACCCACACATCCAAACTTGAAACTTCTCATATTTGAATCACCAATTATTGTTCATCAGCTGACTCACAGCAAACCACATTAACATTGATAACGGCGGTATGCGCCAGTTTGTTTTGTCAATATGTTAATTACTTAGTCTTATTTGGAATTAGTACATCATCATCATCATTTATTCAATACTTAGGCTCTTTCCAGGGCGCTCAGACACGTGCCTTTATGTATAGCTTGCCCTACCACCACTTCGGGACAACATATGGGCTGGTGCTGAGAAGAAGCGATGGAAGAAACTCAGTCACCTATGTCATCATCATTTTAGTTAAAGAATGTCCACTGCAGACGCAGAAAATACCTTCCCTAGTGATTTCCAGATTTATTTATTTATTTAAGGATTGTTCAGTTGAAAGCGGCCTGCATCTAGCATTACATTCATTTCTATTAATATTAAAATTATTTTCAACTTTCAAGAGCTGATCAATGATTTTAAATTATTATTTTTTTAAATAAGAGCACAGAAGAGCAGGTTTATTTGATAATACCAAGGTTACGGAACTCTGTTCGTAGCGCAACGGAAATGTGAAAAAAAAAGATAATTTCCTTTTATAGATGTACCAGAATCTCATGGCAAACAAAAATATTGGAAAAGTGTGTTTTTCATATGGCAATTGTCTATGGTTTAATTGTCACCTGTCAAAGAAAATTATGAAATCTGTCAGCCGCTGCAAAAATTTTGTAATCTCTTCTTGACTATTTGTTATTTTTGTAAAAAAATCGAAAAGCTCAAGCAATTCATATTGTTTTCAATGTGAATTGTAAAATAAGGCATTCAAAGTCAATCTTTGATTCTAAAGCGCGTCGTCGAGTTGACAGTAAGTTGGACTGAAATATTTTGATACATTTAGTTTATTACCCAATTACGTCACAAGGAGGGTTATGTTTTTTTATATTATTCTTAATAGCTGCTTTATCGGGGTTTTCAGGTATATCTCACAAATTGGTGCAGGGGAATGGTCAAAATGTTATGACCATGTAAAGAAAATTGAAAAAGATTTTATCTCTTTATTTTGATCATCTATTGAAGAACAAGAAATTGCAAGTGGAGTTCTTAGAATCGTTTTCTAGTTCTGAATGAAGTGATAAGTTAAAAGTATGATGCATAATAAAATTAGTTACTTAAATTAATAATACGATTTATTTATTTTTCAAGACACTTTCCCGATGTATAACAACATTCTTCATACACATTCACATACCTACCTAAAATGTATATTCGTACTTCATGTTCATTAATATTAAAGTCATAAAAGTAAAAAATTAAACTAAAGTATCAAGATCGTTTATTCCAATTTCCCCAGTATTGCTCTCAACAAAGTTTATTTTCCCTATTTGCCATGAGATTCTGGTACACCTATAGCAACATAATTTGTGTACGGCCAAAAGACTAGATTCCAGGCCAGGATCGCCACATGAAAAAAAGGTCCTGCTTGACTCCTGTCAAGCATTTCGGCGGGATAATAGTTTTGGCGGGCTTTAGTTTTTGCCGTCATCCTTCTACAAAAATTAAAATTATACTGCACCTATTACAAATCTCCAATCAGGTTACGCAAAAATAGCTCTTAACTCCAAGTGTATTATTATTTTTACACACATTTACATTTTCCTCAAATCCGTTGAGGATTTATTTATACAGTTGAATCATACAATCGCTTGGTTATGAATGATGTATGAAATTGTTATTTTGCCTACTTTTGAACGCGTAATTGATACAAAAACGATTTAATAATAGCTGATTTTGTTTTGAATGCAATCCATTTTCTGCGAATTATAACCAAAATTAAAGAAATAGGTAACTTATGGACGAATAACATGACAAGACATCGAACAGACTGTGAACAGCGTATACAATAATATTTCTGTTTAATAAGTACTTAGTTAATGTCGTACTTTAAAACTCGAGTCAACGTTCGATAATAGGAAATGATGTATCCACCTGTAAAGGCATATATTTTAATATTGTATCTACTCAACGCTATATTATTGTTATATGTAAAGTTATATGTCGTTGGTGTATCTTTTTCAATAAATAAATAAATAAATAGTTACCTTTTGTGCCTACATCATCGCTGAAACTATTGTGATTTGGTAAGAATTTTAGGATATTAAAATTTCATGTGCGCAAACATTTTCGCTAGTGTAGTGTTCCGTCTTCATGATTTCTGTATAACCTCCTTTTCTTTTTTTGTTCTCTTTTTTCTCCCTTTATTTGTCATCCATCCTGTTATAATATTATAGTTGGTATTGTTGATCAAAGCCAGGGGCATTTTTCGGGAATATCTTGTTAGCTTTAGGTGGCTTTATTTTATCCCTATCTAATGTTTTATGTTATGTCATAAAATCATAAATCGAATGGATCTACTGACGTATCACGCGCTCAGCAACTGTAGTTATGGCGTATTGTTCTGTCGTGTGGCACTACTGGGAAGAGAACAAACGCCCATTGATCAATATGACGAGGCTTCCAACATAAGGCATGTTAAGCATACCTACACCGGCACTACTAGACTTACTGTCGGCCGATAGTTGGGCCCGATCCTAATTTGAAAGAAAAATCGGCCGATACCAATGTGCGCACTTCCATACATATTATATAGGTACTAGCTTTCCGCCCGCGGCTTCGCCCACGTGGAATTTTGTTTGTCACAGAAAAACATTATCGCGCGCGTCCCTGTTTCAAAAACTGGGATAAAAACTATCCTATGTCCTTTCCCGGGACTCAAACTATCTCTATGCCAAATTTCATCAAAATCGGTTCAGTGGTTTAGGCGTGAAAGCGAGACAGACAGACAGAGTTACTTTCGCATTTATAATATTAGTACAGATACTTAGTATAGATTGATTAACAGCCCGACTAAACTATCGGCCTAAGCTAAAATACTGTCTATTCCACTTTGATCACTTGGCTTTGATCATCTGGGTTATCAAAGTGGACTCCATCTCCAAGCGACAGTTTGGTGTCCTTTGATCACCCATGGATAAATAAGATGATCTGGGTGATCAAAGTGGACTCCAGTTAAATTATAATTTTAGTTTCTTTTGATCACCAATAAATAAAGCACACCTTTGAATAGTCACTTTACACATTTTTGATCATCATCATCATCATTTCAGCCATAGGACGTCCACTGCTGAACATAGGCCTCCCCCAATGACTTCCACATCGCACGGTTGGTAGCGGCCTGCATCCAGCGCCTTTCTGCTACCTTACATTTGTGATATTTTATAAAATCCGCGACAAACAAATTAGACATGATGACTATTCAGAGGATGTGTGATTTATAAAAGTGATATAAAATATCAGAATATACAAATACTAGCAGATAGCAGGCCTAGTGGCGTATTCGACTACCTACTTATGCCAGTAGTCGCGGGTTCCATCTCCACACAGAAAAATGAATTTCATATTTGATTAGGTTTGGGTTTTCAATGTACATAGTAGTATCTGTCGGTTACATACATACGAGGTTTACTTTGTATAAAAACATTGTAACCTTGAAAACAAATTATTTAATTGCTTTAAAATAAAAGATGCCTACTTCAGTCGATTTAGTTCGCGGAAAAAATATGGCGTCACAGTTTCCTGCTGCTACATAAAGTTTATGGGGAATTCGCGTTTTTCGAGGGTCCATAAAAAGTCCGCCAATTGACTGATGGTGTCAACTCATAAATTAGCAAAAATGTAACTACGAGTATTATTGCACAAATTGCAACAAATAATTTAATTGTTTTTCCTAATGAGGTAAACGGTTAAGGTTAATTCCAACGAATTTAACATTAGGCACTCTAAACCTTTGCCTTCTTATATTTTTTTTGGTACAATTTTACATTGGATCTAAGAAACATTTTAAAAATTAGTGTCAATCCGAAAAAAACAAACAAAATAGAAAAAAAAGAAAATGTTTACAATTATTTATTTATAAACAATCGCGCACGGTAGTGCACCTGCCAAGTTTAATTCAAATTTGTTTTTTCTGTCTACCGACTTCTTTAAGTATTATTCTTGATGAGAAGAATAAAAGTGAGTAACGTATGACTCAAGCAACCTTCTTGGTTTTCCCGCTACTGGAACACGTCTATATTTCGTAACTATTTATATTAGCACAGTTTTGCAGTCTGTGACGCGTCTACCCACGTGATTCGAATATTCGTCATACAAAAAACGATAACCAAACGCAAAAAAAAAAAGTAAAAAAATACAAACTTTTGAATTCGATTAAAAACTTTTTACAACATCGGCTTGTAAATTCAAACGCGTTCTTAAAAAGTTGTTTACATTTTTTATTCGGTTACGTAATTCAATTGGAAAAGATTCCCGCGTTCCAATTCGAAACTTACCGTATGGGGGTGACGTCATCCGCAGACAGGTAGATCTCATCGCCTTGATGGAGCCACGCACCGTCGACCCCTTTCGCACAAAAGTACAACTTCTCATTTGGAACATCCACCACCGCCTCCGACGACTTCTGTGTGTAATAAAACGGCGGTGAGCAGACCTCTCCTCTGTCGCCCCGTCGACCGGTCAATGACCACTCCACAACATCCGAACTTAACACTTTAATTCCACATTTATCATCCACACACTCTTTCACCACCGATAATATCCATGGGGGAGACACGGCGCACGTGTTTATTATTAAAAATAATAGCAAAAACAAGCCACTAGTCCGTAATGAGACGGCCATGTCACACGCCGGTCAAACACGAATGAAATCACCGTACCGCACCGAAGTTGCAGCGGAAAGAGCTTCGTATAGTCGAGCGAGAGTATTTATATTGAATCGATGGTCGTCGGCTCAATTCGGAGATAAACGCCGGAGTGTTGTAGATAGCACTATCTACAACCCGGCCGATTTGAGTTGATGCTTATGATGGCGCAGGTACACGGCTGGAAATTGAACAAATAGAAGCGCAAGCACGCACGAAGTATGGGCGTGCTTTTTGAAACTTAGTAAAGTGCGTATTTACACTGTCTCGATCAATTTCCCGCATAGTGTAACTGGTCCATTCAAATAAATTATATGTTTTGTCAAAGAAATATACACATGGCTCTTCAAAATAGCGATTTTGTTTGATTAACAAGGGCTATTCAAGCTAAGTAGTGCTTAGCTTCTATGTCGTGGTAATAAGTGCTCTTTTAGAACCAAAATATCGCTTGATATGCCGTCTTATCTAAACTATAGCAATAAATAACAGTATTTGTCAAAACCTTTCAATGATGGCATCGATTTAATCCTGATTAGAATTTGATTATTTTAAGTGTCGTTTGATTATGTAAGTTGGATTTGGACAGGCAATTAATGAAAAGAAAAACAGTTGTTCGGATGTCCAACTCTGTCGACGTCTTCGCTGTTTTACAACTGTTTGGATGTCTAACTTCGTCTGCTTTTTCACGATTTTTTTTCGAGACTAATCGTACCTCTTTCCCATCACTACAACTCCTGTATAGCCAGGATCTGGGAGTGAACTAGCTCATGCCCGCGTCTTCGCTTGTATTTTGTCGATTTTTTTTTCGAGACTAATTTTATCGCACCTCTTTTCCATCACTGCAACTCCGGTGTAGCCAGGATCTACAGATTGTACTATGAAACCCAACCAGTGAAGATTGAGTAGTCCCGGGGATAACTAACGAAAAAGTTTTGCCCGCGATCTAAACAACTATGACGTCAACAAAACAATCGAATAGTGCAGGCAGATTGTGACGTCAGCAACAAACACAACACTTCAACAGTCTGGTTGTTAATCGACCTTGGAACTCTGACCCGGAGACCCAAGTTCAATTCTTAACGTACACAACGATGTAAAAACACCAGGTATTCGGGTGATATTGCAGGTTTGCAGTAAACAGGTTCCCCGAAAAAACCGGTCAACAAAATGCCATAAACTCGCATATACAAAAATCTTTGACCGCTCATAATTTTATGCTGTATTTTTCATTTTATCCTTCGTTCGTTCTATTCAGCCAAATGACGTCCACTACTGGACAAAAGACAAGCCTCCCTCAAGAATTTCCAAAACGACCGATCTTGCGGTAGAGTGTTTATTAAAGCTCTCAGTTAAAGAGCACCCTTATGTAATAAAGACTTGAGAAAATAAATTGCATAATGTTAAAAAAAAACCTTTTTAAAACAACGCCATTTATTTATCAAAATTCAAGATTAAATCTTTAGACGGAAAAGCTTGTTTTTCTTATCGAAATTCGGTGTGTTTATTGAAAAAGGCAAAATAAAAATGATAAATTTCCATTAAATTGATAACCAAGGTTTTATCGAATGTAAGTCAGTAGTTCTTGCTTCTTTGCAATCAATTTTAAGTAAATAAATATGCGTGTGGTCCAAAAAAACTATTTAATAAAAAATAAAAGTATTTTTGGATTTTTTGGACTCATAGACGTAATAAATAAGCTTTCTCTACCATACGCCCCCATATAACGATCATAAATATTTTTTACCAACTTCAAAAAAGGAGGAGGTTCTCATTTATCCACTAACAACTAGATCATAGATCCTGTGCAGAATCATCTGTTTTTAAAATATTTAAGTTGGCACCTTATTCGCATTCCAAAAAAAAACTTGCCAAGTTTTTTTTATTTTGGTTTGGAAAATCCCAAACCGTATTAATTTGTCAAAATACGGATCTAGATAATAGAAATAGGACTTTGTATTTTCACAGATTCGAAACCAACGTGTAATGCGAAACCTCTTTTGAAGTTCGAATAAATTTTAGGCTACTAAAGTACGCTCTATTTGAGTGGGTTCATAGTCGAGCGGCGGCCGGGATCGAACCCGCGTTCCTCGGATCACGAGTCAGCGTCTTCTTCACCGTTCGACTATGATGAATCTTACTTCTAGTTGCTGTTTCCTGGGTAAAAAAGCAAGAGTTTCAATTAGTTCGTCGATTAACTCATCAATTAATTAAAATTGAAAGAGATAAATGCCCGTTTTCACCATCAATCCCTAATTTTTAAGTGACCCCTATGAAAACAAAATACCTGTTATTTGTTACCATAGGGGTCACTTAAAAATTAGGGATTGATGGTGAAAACGGGCAAAAGACTATCAAAGTTCAAGAGGCCCGTGCGTGACGTCAAGGAGTGCTTAATCGTGTAGCACTTTGTGACGTCATGCGAAACTTCAACGCATCATAACTTAAATTCGTAATTACTTGTTTGATTGACAAATAAAAAATACGCGTCCAATATTTTTGCATAATGTAATTTGACGCCTATTGTGGCATAAATCTTATATTATGAAAGGCGGACAAATCCACGGGCAGAAGTTAGTCTCAAAATAGCTCCGTGATTTTGGAATCAACTTCAGCCATCAGCTGATAACGATCGCTATTTACGCAAACAAACGTTTGACATCAATGATAAAGATTATTTAATCAAGGTTATGTAGCTGATTTTATTTATTTATCTAGTTATACCTATTTGGATTATAAATGACACAATTACTTAAAAATTTAGCATGAAACAGATAATAGTTAAGCCTACTTAGTTTCATTCATCTACTAATATTATAAAGCTGAAGTTTGTTTGTTTGGTTGAACGCGCTAATCTCTTGAACTACTGCCTCTGCCTACCTCTAGCACGAAACACTTTCGTCTTCAAATCGTTTGCGTACTCCACAAAACTCGAAACCCAGTTCAACATTCGTTTCGTGCTAACTTTTCTCATTCTAAGTTCACGTCACGTTCACAGAGGCGCTGTTTAAATTTTCATACTGAACATTTTGATGATCGATTGAGAAGATTCGAATACGCAAACGATTCTAAATCGAAAGGTGTTCGTGCTAGAGGTACTGATGCGATTTGAAATAAAATTATTTAAATTTACCTAATTACACTGGTCAACAAAAAAAATAAAATTGTTTGTTTCCTGTGATTTTTTTTCTGTTTCTATCTCAAATTGACGCATATTTTTTAAATATGGCAACAGTTTTTCTCTAACAGCTTTTGTTTTTAAGTTATAGCTATCTACCCTCATTTAATATTTTTACTTAGATTTTTTTAATTGGACAAAAAAAAATATTTTGTTGGTGTTTTCGATATTGCTTCGTTATAAAGATGTTGTGTGCTTAATCCAGATGGCTTCTGCTATGTTTGTGGTAAATATAATATTTGAAAAACATCGAAAACCTCTATCGGACTTGATGAAAACTGCGTAACATCGACACTGTAATATAAATATTTGAAATTAAGTAATCAAGACCACAAATGAGTCATTTGTGTTCTGAGAATAGGTGACATCTTTTAGGCCAACAAGGAGGCTACACAAAATTCCCGTTCCATGTGTATCTGGAATAGTTGTAACAAACAATAGCATTGGTTACAAAAAATTTGACCAGTGCGGCTTCCCGCACACACAACTTTTAGCTCTTCAGCTAAAGTTGATACAAACAATTTTATAAACGTGCCTTTAGTTAGCCAAGACCGTATCACCGTACTTCCACCACTTTATATTAAGCTCGGCATCTTGAAACAGTTTGTGAAGGCGCTTGACAAAATTGACGAATGTTTTAATTTTCTTTCACGAAATTTTTCAGGATTAAGCACAGAAAACTTAAAAGCTGGTAATTTTTGATGAGACTCGCATTAGGCAACTGGTAAATGATCGTAATTTTAAGAAATCAATGAGTGAAGTCCAGTCCTAAGCTTAAAATGATTTTTTTTGGTTATAAGTAATTTCCTAAGCAAAAAGAGATTGTTGAGAGCATGCTATCCAACTTGCAAGAGCTAGGGTGCAACATGGGCATAAAAATACACTCCATGTACTCGCATTATCATCGATTTCCACAAAATGTGGGTGATTTTAGTGTGGAGCAGGATAAAAGTTTTCATTGGAATTTTGTGACAATGGGAGAAGGTTATCAGGGGCGTGGTGCTCATATATGAATGGCAGACCATTGCTGGAGTTTGCAACGAGATCTACTCAAACTTGCCTATTCAAGGAAATCATATAAAAGATCATTTGCTAGTGTTCAATAGAAATTTTATTAGCACAATGTATAATTTTTCTTATTTTTTTGTCAAAATAATAGAACTCTATATTTTAAAAAGTAAAGCTGTTGGCGATCTCCCAGTATTTTTTTCATAATCAGGGCCATAGAAATACCCAACAACAGAAAAAAAATTGAAGGAAAAAAAACATGTGTTGACCAGTGTTATTATTCAAACTATTTTCACGCGTACGAAGTCGCGGGAACAGCTAGTTGTTTGTAATTTCAGTAATTCAAAAGATAGAGATAGCCATGATATTACATAATACTAATTATTTTCTGAATTTCAATGTACCTCGTTTCATTCAAGGATTTGCAAATGTGATAGTCCTTCAGTGGCTTCAGCTTTAAATATGTAGTAATATTCATCATCGCCTCTGTGGTCTAGTGGTATGACCACCTGCTTCAAACTTGAGGTCCCGGGCTCGATTCCCAATGGGGACACATTTTTCTGTTCGGTTTTGGTTCCGACAGATAGAGGTACGATGGCCAGTTCCTCTGTAGTTGAAGATTTCGGGTGAAGTTCGCTTCCACCTTCGTTCTGATCATTACTTTCACCAGGTGACATGCAGGCCAAGAGCTTCCTCGTAGTGGATAAAAGAAATTATCATCTGGGTCTTTCAGTCTCCACTGCAGGAGCACGACCATCTACAATTTACCAGAGGCAAATGGAGAATTTGGCCGACACTCCCCACACTGGCCAGACGGGTTGGGGAGGCCTGATGCTCGCATATTTGTCGCCTAGTCGCTTACGACATCCATGGGAAGGAAGAGTGGGGGTGGTCTTATTCTATTGTGCCTTGATAGGCCCCCTTATTTATTGTCCGTAGTGCTCTTTTCTTAAAGGTTATTAAACCTTTCGTTAACCGTTTTAACCCGTTGAACGACTCATCGTGCAGGGGAAGGTTGAGGGCACAAGAGCGCGCGGCAGTTCGCCCATGCGCTGGACTGACCAGAGCCCCGATTACGGTAACTTTTAACGTTTCCAATCCAGACGCGTTTCTGATTCTGCAATACGATTGGTCAAAACAGCTAACGTACGCTGTTGAACGACCAATCGTATCGCAGAATCGAGAAGCGTGTCTGGATTGGAAACGTTAAAAGTTACCGTAATCGGGGCTCTGGTCAAAACCGCTCTCAATGGTCCACTCCACGAGTGCACAAGAAAGGCTGCAGTGCGGGAGGAATGGCGACGGATTGTGAGGCTTGCCACCGGACCTGGTGTGACGACCACGACCACTCTGACAAGAGTGTAGCGACGAAGAAGGAGATTAACCCTTTGTTTGTCATCTATCATCCGCTTTGCAATGGAAGGAAGTCGAACCTTAACTTCGAACTCCTCCTATGTTCTTCTGATTAACTTCGTTGTGGGGTCCAATGACAGTTTTACTTTCCCCCACTGGTTGGGTTTTTATTGGCGGTCAAGCTGTTATAGAACCTGGTGACACAGGAGTTGCAGCGGTGGGAACGAGATGGAAATATTCCCGTTACTCTGCCTTTGAACATACCTACAGACTAGCGTTTTATTATACATATTTATTGTATGATTCAAGCTGTATAAAACTATCAGATTTGATAAACGTTTTGCGTATCACGTCAATCCAGTAGTTATTATCAAAAAACGTGACTTCACTTTTTGACATCCATACTCGTAGATAAGCAAGTGCTGAGTTATATAATAAATTCAATAATAATAAGCATTTTTAAGTCTTCGGACGCAGGTCGGCCGTAGTAAGGACAATCTGTTCAAGTGGGGATTCTTGGATGACTCAAACTTGGAGTGCAAGTGCGATTTTGTTCCCCAGTCGACGAAGCACCTGATGTCGTGCCCTGCGTGCCCAAACAACTGCACGCAGGAAGATTTAATGAAGGCTACTGACAACGCCACTCTTGTGGCGGAGTTTTGGGCTGACGCTGTGTAGGTATGTTGTCGACACGACAAGAAGAATAAGCATTTGTGTATTTGTATTAATTGCGCCTCCCCAGCCCGTCTGGCCAGCGTGGGGAGTGCAGGCCAAATCCTCCATTTGCCTCTGGTAAATTAGAGGATCGTGGTGTGCAGTGGAGAATTACCTGTAATGGAGAAACAATCCGGAAAGGGATCGTAACCGTATCAACTCGAGGCTGTCAGTATTCTGTGTAAAGCCTGGTCCGTGAGCACGTAGAATTTTGTCCAATCACCCCAAGCTACCCATCCTTATCGCTCGCGCGTAATTATGTTGCTGTCGCGCTCGCACACTCACTGCGGGCGCCCGTAGCACAGTCGCGACAACAATATAATTACGCGCGAGCAATAAGGATGGGTAGTTTGGGGTCATTGGACAAAATTCTACGTGCTCACGGACCAGGCTTTATGAAACTCAATAGTGCAACGCACACATAGTTTATAACGAAGTCACTTACCGCTGTCTGTACATATGCTTAGATCTTTAAAACTACGCAACGGATTTTGATACGGTTTTTTTAAATAGATAGAGTGATTCAAGAGGAGAGTTTATATGTATACTTAGCACCCGTGTGAAGCCGGGGCGGGTCGCTAGTTCGTTATAACGTAAACGCATCGCTGCGTGGTTGACCGAGCGAAAGGCGATACGGTGTTGTTCCCTTTCCGAGTTGATAAGTCTGCTATGACCTTCTTTTACAGCAATAAAAGAAAGACGAATTTTTGACATTTTATTACAAATCACTCTGTAACATTGGCTGTGCTCACTTCGACTGTCTTATCCGCGCGACTGTGGACCTTAGCGTGGACGAGTAAGGTGCATTTTTGAATGAACCGTTTACCGCACACCTCACAAGCGAACCGGCGATCGTCTGTGTGCGTTCTCATGTGTACTATGAGAGCTTTTTTGCGGGGGTACCTGTAAATTTAAATAAATAACGTTTAATAACGTTGCGGTAAACATTAACAGTAACGTTACTGGTTATCAATAAAGGTATCCATTAAAAATACCGATACTGGTTTGCAATATACCAATACCGTTATAGTTAAGAATACCGGTAACCGTAACTAACACCCAAACACCAATATTGGTTTTCAACAGTTACAAATACCGTTATTAATAACAGATAACGGTACCCGTTACTCACCGCTTAGGGCACAAAGTGCACCTGTGAGCGCGTTCCCCGGCGTGGGCCGCCATATGCGCTGCAAGTTCTTGTCTTTGGAAGAAGCCGGCGCGGCATTCAGGGCAGAAATGACGCTTGACCTTCTGATGTTTATTACGGTTGTGGGCGCTTAGATTCCCTGCGAAAGGGGCCGTATTTTTAAAATATTGCTCATTCGGCAAACTGATGTAGCATTGGGCCAGCTATATTTGTCATAGAACCGAAAAATGGAAGTAAAAGATGAAGTAAAGAAGTTTTCATTCGGCAAACAGTCGCGAAATAATGACTATGATGAATAGCAATACCCTAGTGGCCAATCCGAACAGGCTTCGGAGAACACTATCAGATTTTACTCGTATGCATTTGGAATGTGTAAAACACAAACTCGGATTATCATTATTAACATTCAAAGGTCATTTATGCTGGATTTCTATATTCAATCCTAATCCAAATTGGATTTGTACTGTCAACTGTCAAATTTCAATATGTTTTTGGTCAAAATATCTGCGGTTTTTGATGTTTTTACATTATCATATTGCTTGTAAGACTATTTAAACAATATTAAAGTGTAAATGCATAGAATATTTTGGAAATTTAATCTAAAACTGAATTCAATTTGACAGTTGTAATCCGGATTTAGATAAGGATTGAATATGGGAAACGGGCGTAGTCTCTACTGCAGGAGCTCGACCCTGAGACAAATGGAGGATTTAATCTACACTCCACACGCTGGCCAAACAAGTTAACATCATTAACATACCCAAAAGAACAAAAATCCAATACTTACCAGCCAGCAGAAACTTCTTATCGCACACCACGCACTCATATTTCGCTGCCGCGCGACCGTGCACTTGAGACAAATGCCTCGCACGACGGGTGAGAGTGTCGAATCTTTCAGAGCAGCTGGGGCACTTGTATAGTGAGACTGAGCCGTGCTTGCGCTGCCTGGAATGACGAATAACGTTACTGTTATTTCAATTAACCTGAGAAAGAGCGTGTTGACCCGCTTAGAGCAGCTGAGGCACTTGCACAGCGCAACCGAGCCGTGCTTACGTTGTCTGAAATAACGGATAACGTTACTGCTATTTTGATTAACCTGAGAAAGAGCGCGTCGAACCACTCAAAACAGCTGGGGCACTTGTGTAGCGAGGCCGAGCCGTGCTGCCTGGAATAACGGGTAACGTTACTCTTATTTCGATTGCCAAATACATCGCGCAACGGATGAGCTTGTCCAAGCAGTCAGAGCAGCTGGGGCATTTGTTTAATGAGCCGTGCTTGCACTGCTTTGAATAACGGGTAACGTTACTGTTATTTCGCAAAGGCCATAAAAATATTTTAATTAGACCAATCAAACATCAATAAGTAATAATGTATGATTTGAGTAGCTTACCTATGAGAATTAAGTGTGTTAAGATTGGTAAATTCCATGTCACAGGTTGGACAATTGAACGGGCCAGTCTTGTGTGAAGGCATGTGTCGTTTTAGCCTCTTTTCAGTTAGGAAACCTGAAAATAAGTAACAAAAGTTAAATAAACTTATACTTAAAACTATTAGAAGTACGAGTATACTTATAAAAGAGTTAAATAATTCCACTCTAACCAGTTGTAAAAGTGATTTAAGATCATAGCAGACTTATCAACTCGGAAAGGGATCAACATCGTATCGCCTTTCGCGCGCTGTCAACAGCGAGGCGATGCGTTACGGTGCGGATTAGTGTGCGTTACATTATGGAGTTTCATACAAAGAATACTGACCGCCACGAGTTGATACGGTTACAATCCCTTTCCAGGTTGATAAGTGTGCTACTTAAAATAACTGTTTCTGATACCTTTGCCACAGGACTCGCATATGTGGTTCGGGAAATGTTGGTTCATGTGTAAATGATAGACATATACATTCGGTAACACCTTACTGCACATCCCACATTTTAGGTCCTCGGTGACTTTGTAATAATTCTTCTTTATCTCCTGTCCTTTCCCAATAATATTGTAAGTTTGTTTGTCTCTTTCTGGCTTGCACGTGACATTCTTTTTGGTGGAGACATCTTTTTGAATGGTGTCTTCTTTAACAGTTTTGGGTAATTGATCTGTAATGTATGGAAGATTCAAAATTAAACAGATAAACTACAGAAATCTATCTTAATCTCAGTATAATCCTCCCACTTTGTGCATTGCAACTACTGTAATGCTTAGCTGTGAACCCTAAACTGCTAGCCTTAAGTCTGTAGTCCTGGTGGATAGCTTACTGTCTTGGATACTGCAGTGAATTTAATCAGAAGAATAATAGTTAACGGTTGATGATTAATTTTGATACAGTCATAGATTAAGAGTCTAGAGAAAGATGGGCTACCATTTTTGCAAAAAAATATATGTAAAAGAATAAAACATTATTTACCTTGTGAATTTTTTTCATACAGGACTAGAATATCTTTTTCAGTAGTTTTAGCATACTTATCTTCGATATCTAAGCTAGTATTGAGCACTTTCTTGACGGTTGTCTGTTTGTCTGCATTTGTGAGATCTATCACTGAAAATGAAAATAAAAAAACTTAAGTACTATAAGTGAAGGTGCACACTAGACAAAGGCGACAGCTCGGCGACTTAAGCCTTGGGCAGACCAAACGCAGGGCAGTAGCAGCGCAGTTTGAATGCGGGCCCGCGCAGGTTGTAATACAAGAAACTCTTTGAAGTATGTCACACCAAATTTGAACGCGGGCCCGCGCTCCAACCGCGCCGCACTGCAACTGCCGAAATACAAACGAGGCGGCGCTGGTGCGGGACAGAAGCGGCGCGAACGCGGGCCCGCGCTGTTGTATTACTATGGCGGCCATATTAGCATGACACACCGGACGCAGGGCGGTAGCAGCGCGTTGAAAGCGGTTTTCGAATATTAAAATTTTTGACAATTGACAACCGCCCGCGTTGCAGCTGCTTTGAAACTGCGCTGCTTTCAGTGTGCCTCAGCCGCGCTGCAACTGACCCGCACTGCTTCTGATCTGCGTTTGGTCTGTGGAAGCCATTAGAAGCGACGACAAGCTGCGGCCGACATTTTCATATATTTTGTTCAAAGATTCGTACACTTGGTGACAGAGAGAATATATGACCACTCTTGGATGCGCGGGCTCCCATACACCGTTATAAGTTCGACTAATGATGCCAGGCTGCCTAGTGCACAGGGTTGCTTAGGGCCCTTTTCCCATGGCAATCGTCCCAGTTTATAAATACAGTTTTTACCTTCATTTACACATACTACTAAATAATCGGGATCTTGCTAAAACCGGTACCTACAAAACACAGGATGCTCTCGTGGGAAAGAGCCCTTATTTTTACCCGACTACGCCAGAAGGAGGGTTATGTTTTTTACAAATAAAACTTACGTCCGTTACTCTGCAATATATTCAAGATATCAAACACTTGAGCCTTGAATTGAAGCGTTTCTTTCAGCTTTTTCACACACTCCTTACATATGAAGCCGTCATGTTCATAATCTTCTATAGAAATCTGAAAACAGACAAACGAAACCGATTTTTTCCATAGCATAGTAAAACAGCTTTAGAATCATGAAAAATTTAGTGAATTTTGTAAATAACCTTGCATAAATCCTTTTGAAAAGTCTACAACTTAACTTGTCGTAGAATAATAATGTTAAATTAACTGTAAAATTAGTAAAATAGATCTAAAACTTTGTAAAACTTACGTTCAAATCAAATAATGATAGCAGTAGGTGTCCGTAGTTTTCTTCAGGTTCACAGTTGTAAATATTTATCAGGTCATTAGTAGCTAAACAGCAAAAGCAAAAGTACGTGTCTATCGACATTTTTTAATGATAAATTATTTATTTAAATAAAATCAACAGTATTTTTGAGGTTATGTTTTGATTTTTGATCGTAAGTAATGTCAATGTCAGATGCAATTTATTCATGTTCCGAAACACTAATATCTGTGTTCCGAAACGTGTTAGATTTTTTGTAGTTTCTCCGTGAAGCGATTTCGAAATTACGTTACAACTGTCTGTTATGCCTAGGGTTGCCAACTTTTGAAAGGACCAACCCGGGAGAATTGTGTGTGTGTGTGTGGGGGGGGGGCTTGCTCCATAGTTGCTCCATCACGCTGAATACGCGCTCGAATGAAGCATTAATAGAGACAGGAATGGAAAGAACAAACGTGACCATTTTTTTTTATTCAGGACAAGGATTTATGTCTTTTGATTTCGTAAAGAAGTCAACCCAGCGTAAATCCACTCGATATTCTTCAATAAGATGTGGTTGCACCTCACGCAAAAGTCCAACCTCATCGTACAATTTGCCACTATCTATGTCAATATTTAATAATTCCTGGAGTTTAGTAATGCTGGTCCATGTGATTGGTTCTTTTAAAGATAAAATTTATACACAAGTACGAGCAGCAATAGATGCATTTAATTTTTAGAAATACCGGAGAAAATATTGCTCTCCGGGAGGTCGGGAGGTTAACCATTATTTCCGGAGTCTCCCGGGCAATCCGGGAGGGTTGGGAACCCTAGTTATGCCACTTGTCTAGAGAAACATCGAACAACGATATTTATTTATTAGCTATTCATAACACATTTATAGGTGGATAGAATAGGTATTCGAGTCCCAGGCCCAGCCAAGAATTTTAAAACGCCATTTTATATGATCAATGATAGCCAATATTTTCTTAAAAACATTTATTAACTGTATAAGCTTTTGTTCATATTCTTAATAGTTCAATAAACTATTATTACTTACTTTATATGCTTAGGTACTTAATACATATAGAAAGAAGGGGAGGTACAGGTACTTTCTAAATAAAAATGGATAGTATATAACTTACTATGGATAAAACTGTCTAAAATAAATACAGCTGATAATGTTATAATAAAACAATAATAAATTAGATAACATTATTAATGAAACACTAATGTTAGGAATAATGATCGAAAATAACGATGGTTAAATACACTTTCTACTTAAGAGCCANCAGGGCCGGATTAACCATCTCAGGGCCCCTAGGCACAGCTCGTTTCGGGCCCCCCTTTTTTTTGTCGCGGAGGAAATGCTTTGCGCACCGTCACCACTGCCGGGGGACAGGGTGGTATGTGGGACTCCCGGCGCCCTAAAAAGGGAAAAGGACGGGGTATACCCACTAAAACCTCCGCGGCGTTCCGTCGTAGGCCGAGTGGGGGTGTCGCGAGTATCCGGCCGTAGCCTTAGACTTCCGAGACACCACGCTACAGCGACAGCTCGCCTACACGGCGGACCCTACACGCCCCCCTTGTGGGGGTCCGACGGAAATGCCCAAAACGCCAAGCCGTTCCCGTCAGACGAAGGTGACAAGGGTGCCCCGCACCCCCGGCCTGCTGGCCGCCACCTGGGGGCAGAATAGAACGGTCGTACAAACGCTTTCTCCGCCCCCTTCTCCGCCTGCGGAGCGATGAGACGAGAGGATCGTTCTCCCACTCGCGCTCCACTGCCTCTTTCTGAAGGATGACCTCTTCGCAAATGGAGGCGATCGCCTTCCAGCATCCTTCACTTCCCAGCATGGCGATGACCAGGCTCGGAAGCGAAAGATCCCGGCCCACGACCACAGTGAGGACACGGCGCTGCTCCTCCCAGCCTGTGCAGACCGCGAGGGTGTGCTGCACCGTGTCATCCACCGCGCCGCATGTGTGGCACACGGGGATTTCTCTCGCCCGATTCTATGTAGGTGCGAACCGAAGCCATGCCCGGTCAGCACCTGCGCCAGACGGAACCTGAGGAACCCGTGCGGTCGTTCCAACCATTGGTCCAGAACAGGACCAATGGCGTCCAGAGTGCGGCGGCTAAACTGCGCGCGAGTCATGTTTTCGTGACGGGGACGCACCACTCCGGGCGCTTTCCACGCGCCTTCTGGTCTACCATCCAGTGATAGATGACAGACAAGACCCCAGCTTCTAGCTCCTAAGGAGGAGTACCAGCGAGGACGCACGCCGCAGAGTGCCCTACCGTGCGGTAGGTCCTTGCGACCCTCTGCGCTATGGCCCGCTGGGGTCTGCGCAGAAGGGAAGCATTCTCCCTCTTGTTGAGTGCGTCCACCCAGACTGGGGCGCCATACAGCGCCATGCTCCTCAGAACGCAGGCATAAAGTCGACGGCACCC